AGAGAGAGAGAGAGAGAGAGAGAGAGAGAGAGAGAGAGAGAGAGAGAGAGAGAGAGAGAGAGAGAGAGAGAGGGGGGGGGGGGGGGGGGGGAGAGGGGTTGACACAAGAATATGCTCGCCTTTCTAATTTTCAACAGGTTGCAGCTGGCAGCTGCTGTACAGCATTGAAATCCAACATCATAATTGAAATCCATGATGATCCTTCAATTTATATCCATATTTATTATTTTTAGCATCGAGTATTTACATGGCAACTACATTGAGTTCTCTTTTTCAAGTTGGCTTATCAACTCTTCAGATGCCAACCCGTGCCACTACTTTTTTTTTCTGTTTTTTTTCCCTTTTTTTCCTTTTTTTTTGTACAGAGTTATTATATCTGTGTCCAGCTTTGAATGAAGGTGTGGAAATTTCATTACCTATTACTATGATATTTGGAAAATTTGCAAAATACACCCATAAGTTGAGATATGTGCCAAAATGCCCCTGAAAGATGTGGGTAGAGCGGAATGCCCCTCTGACAAAAAGAAAAATTTGTGAAATACCCCTTGCGTCATCAGTAGGGTGGCTTGCGACTCCTTCATTCGTCCCAAGCACGAAGCGGGACCGGGTAATTTGGACTCAACCACTCAAGTCAAACCCCTCTCCATGCAATGGCTAAAGAGATTGATAGTCACCCCACATCTCTCATGGAGGGAGCTAGCCTTAGGACAAACCCGACAGCTAGCTCCCCAAACCACCCACACGATTGACCCACTCGCACGGATTGAGGACCTCATCTCGGCACTCTCTCGTGCACACAACCATCTGCAAGAGCAAGGGGAGAGAGGAGCGGCCATGCAGGATATGGCTAAGGATGACTTTTGGATTCCCTTGCTAAAAACCTGGCGGCAGGTACCGCTCCCCGATTCCTCCCCCCCTTTCTCGGTTTGAGGAGGTCCTCCGCCATCCCCTTTTCGGCAATCGTTGGCTCACATACTGCCAAGGATGTGTATATTGGAGCTCGCACCCCCCTGGGGCTAATTGGGTGAAGCACGGGTTGGTGAGGGTGGGTGACATGTCGGACCAGGGCACAAAGGACGGGCCATCAGAACCGCAACTGCACGTCGTCCTGAGATAATATGCCCATGGGGTCTCAAATAGCGTAGAGGAACTGGAGTTCTCGATTCCACTTGCTTGGGTCATCTTATTGCCAAATGGACCGACACTTGTAGAGCCGGGTTGGGTAGCAGTGAAAGGTGAGGCAGGATCCCTCAGCGTTGGCAATGTTGTGGAAGCCATGCCGGAAGGAGTTCGGGTCGATCTCTGCGAAAGAAACATGGATAACTTTGTGGTCATATTTCGCCCAAACTGAGTAGAATGGGTAGATTGGGAGGCTCTCTACAGAATCTGGGTCCTCTGGACTCAGTTCGACTCCGGCCGGATCACCTACGGCCCGGAAACACCTCTCTCAGGCCTACCCCTAGATCCTTTGGAATGGACCTGGAGGTCAGGTGAGTCCCGGCGCTCATACACCCTCCAGAATCTTGCCGTGAAACCAACCTATTTGTTGCTCAGACCTCAGATGGACGTGCGGGTAGTGGCTTGGTGCTAACATGGCGGTGGTGGGACAAAATCTGGAGGCAACTGGGCACAGGACTCAACTGGCCTTGGAAATCCTGGTTGGAGCATGGCAGCTGCCTAAGCCTTACAGTTTTGCAGAAAACCCCTTTTCCCTGGCAGAAAGGCGGTGCTTTGGGGACTGTGGTGGAAACGCTGTATACGTGCCCTGGAGGGAGTGTGTCTAGCTGGGGAAGAAGTGGCAGAAGTAATCTAGCAATTCATTCAAGCAGAGGTGCACGCCCGATGTTAGAAAGCACAAAAGAAAATACATACCTTATACCCCCAGAAGAAGGACATTAAGAACGAAATCAATAAATTCTGCTCTGACTGCCTGGCGGGGACACGCACGGTTACTGGGGAGGACTGATGCCAGGGGGCAACAATAGCAGATGGCGGAAAACCATGAAGAGGAGACAAATGGCTAAGAAAAAGAGGGGAAGAGATGATCAGGACAAGGGGGAGATGGAATTAGGGAGGACCCTCCTTGTCCTGGTTTATGAACGAGAGGGATGGAGAAGAGAGGGCATGAACAACGGCAGCCGATGAGATCAGCGACCAGACCATCAAAGAGTGAAGAGAGAGAGAGAGAGAGGAGAGAGGGGGGGGAGGGGGGGGAGGGGGAGGTGGAGGATAAGGACGAGGAGACGGACAAGGAGAAGGGCGAGCATTGATGATGAGCATACGCAGGGCGGTTAGCATATGGAGGCCAGAGGGGGATCCCGGCAGCAGAGGCAAACTAATACCTAGAAGGTGGACGAGTTCCCTATTACTATCCCGTCCACCTTCAAAACTTTCCTAATTTTGGAGTCTGAGATACCGGCAGTCGGATCCCATCATCCCGACAGTCAAAGCATAAGCGGTAGACAACATAGGCAGAACCAAGATGCACAGCACGGCGAGAAGGTGTACAAAACTTCCAACTGCAAACAACAACTTGTCAAGTCGGCCCCACACGAGACCTTGCATCGGCCCCTTCCTTGCTTCAACCACGTTTGCAATACCGTACTACTCTTCCTTCCTATGCTCCTTCCCCCCCTCCTCTCATGAACTGACATTTCGTTAAAACTGACTTTTTTTTTTAATTCACGAAATTGAGCGTACGAAAAAACAGTATTTCTTAGCATTTTTTTGTCCCCATTACGTCGGACTATGTGATGCTTGGGCGTAGTGACGAAGCTCGATGATTGGACCCTCGGATGTATTTTGACGGAACTTAACATTGAGGTACATCAGATAGTCAAAGTGAGATAACCACTTTCTCACCGAATGAGCAATGAAATGAGGTACATCAGATAGTCAAAGTGAGATAACCACTTTCTCACCGAATGAGCAATGAAATTTTGACTAAGTCCACTTTGTGACTTCAGAAAAAAAATGTCAGTTTTAACGAAATGTCAGTGCATGCCCCACTTCTGCTGCCTCCTCTCGCCCTCTTTCACACACACACACACACATCCCTATACACGGATGCTCTCTTCCTCCTCAGAGTTTGCGTGCAAGCGCACGATCGAGGGCAAGGGAAGACGGCTCCAATGAAGTGCACTCACTCGGGACCGCACAAGTGCGCTGTTCTAAGTGCATGCGTGTGCTTCTATGTGAGGATTCGCCACGACTGTGTGCACATGCACACAAATCCTCACATAGAAGCATGCACATGCACTTGAATCCCCTCATAGAAGCACACACATGTGCAGCCCTGGGTGCGCACACTTCATCGGTATCGTTTCCCCTTGCGTTAGATCGCGCGTGTGCACACAAACACAGGGTAGGAAGTGTGCATCCGTATAGAGGGATGTGCGTGTGTGCGTGTGTGCGTGCGTGCGTGTGTGTGTGTGTGTGTGTGTGTGTGTGTGTGTGTGTGTGGTTAGAGCAGCGAGCACGACGAGATGGAGACTGCAGCAGCATTCTCAGCAGCGTTCTCCGCAGCGGCGCATCAAAAACTGTACTTCAGATTCAAATTTTCTGGCGCGTCAATGCTGCAAAGGACTGGTGCAATGGAACCGGTGGTCCAAAAAGGTCGTCTCGGAAAGTTGCACCCCCTGCTGACAGGGGCCTGCAGAAAAGTTCAGTGGGCCCAGGGGCACAACAGGATAAGTAGGCCGTCAGAGGGTTGTGACGCAAATATATTGAACTTGAGGGGCGTGATGCAAAATTTCCCTTGTTTTTTCTTTCCGAAAACACAGTTTATAATGAAATAAAATTCCACTGGGGGTCGGGGACCTCACAATTCTACCCGATGTGTAGTGGGGCCATTACCCAGCTTCGGCTTTGCTGGAAACCGGGTCCAGTGTCCCAACAGGAAACTCGTTTTGGCCAAACTTAACCTGAACCTAAATAGATCTGTAAACTCAAGGAAGTCCGAACTGCCTAGACGGGTTTCCCACTGCACACCCTCCCAATGACAACAACATTCACAATGGATACAGTTCAAGCTTGCTTCCTACGCTACTTATCCTAGCTACAAGTGAATAACGTTCCCACGACTGGTGGTCACACTCCCACTGCCTCCGTAATGCCACTGCCCGCAGAAGCTATGGTATCTCTCATGCCATATTGTTCATGAGAGGATAACAAAAATTGTTTTCCATAATGTTTTATCGACTCAGGGGAACTACCACACTAAGATGCAACCCTTTAGTAAGCACAGACAGACGAACTCTACTACATAGAAGCCAAGACTACAACAGATATTCCCTTTTTTTTTTTTTTTTTACCTGTCAAATCTGGACAGGACTTGAAAACGAAAACAAGACAATTTGGGCAGGACGGCCTTTTAGCCCTTTTTTATTGCCATTATAGTAATACGGGGAACCCCGTAGCAGCCACATCCGTGCTCAAGCCTCCAACGAGGGAACATGTGGAAGCTGCACCCATCAGCAGGTGGGCAATACCGGCCAGGTGTCTGCCGGTAGCATCAGGACCGAACTTCTTCGATGGGCCAGTCGCCGTGCCTGCCTTCCGGTCCCCTCCCCTTATGAACATCAGCAGTCTCTGCTAAATGCCACTCAGGGGGGCCAACGGCCTATCTCTAGGTGGTGGGCGCCAAGCATGCCCAGGAAGGTACATGAGGCCACGTGCTTCTAAATTGAAAGCACCAAAACATTGAAGTTACACTGGGATATCGCGAG